CAGATCTGTGCTACTCTAAACCTGGGTCAAAGAATTTTCTTCTTGCAGGGTTAAAGCAGTTTTCTAACTGGTCATGATGCTGAATGTAAATAACTTTGGGTACACCTCTGTGGATGGATCCTCTGGATCGACCTCCCAAGGTTCAGGGAAGTGCGGGAAGACGTGGCAGAGACAAATGGCAGCTGGGGAGGGCTGTGGAATGCAGACTTTGGACATGATGCTGCTGCTGCATGCATCAGCTCACAGCAGCTATGGATGTGCACTAGATCAAGACAGCTCAGACTCCACCATGGATGGGGAAGGGGCCCAGCCCTATCACAGGAGCTACCTGCAGTTGGAGACTGCTGAGGGAAGGAGTTGCTGTCCTCTGAGGATGTGGCTGCTGGTATATTGGATGGGCATATACCCATGTGCTTCTGTGCTACAGTAACTAGACTCAGGGTTATTAATAACCACAAAAAGGGAACATGCAATTGGGAAGAAGGTGGGGTCTGGGTTCTGGGAAGAGTTGAGGGGTAATGATAGATGGGTGTGATCAATATACATTGTATAAATGTATGAAACTTTCAAAGAATAAAAAACATTATTTTTAAAAACACTTGAATTTATTAAATCCAAATCATCTGCTTTCATCTGTCTAACACTGAGTAAGGTACTTAAGCTCTAAGCAATAAAAAGACCAAACATCTCACGCAACAATTCTTCACCATCCACAAACTGCTATTCAGCTCTTCCAGCAACCAGAAAGGAAAAGAAGCTGTGAGGACAAGGAGACTTCTGAACTGGGTGCCCTTTCTAGAGACAACACCTCGTAGACACAAAACCCAACTTACATCGCAGGGACTTCCAGTTCTATAACATGGTTTCAAGAAACATACACATACCCACTCATGCATACACCGAAACACACACACACACACCACAAACAAAGACTTTCCCTTCATACTGTTTCAATAACAATGATTTAGGAACTCCTTTTGCCTCTATTAACTAACAGGCTTCATCACTACAATGAGACAGTGTCACAGAAGAGGTGACAACTAAGAAAACCTGAACTAACTGGTAAGGAGAAGCATACCAGCTGGAGGATGGACATGCCCTGGTTCAAGCTTACTAAAGACACACTAACCAGACCGTGGTATAAGAAAACTACACCACACACACACACACACACACACACACACACACACACACACACACGTATATGCACAGGAAGAACATAGTTCAGCAATAAAGCTTCATATTTATGACCCAGTGATTCCAACAAGGGTATCCAGACAATTCATTAGAAGCACAAGAAATTACAGTGGGAATGTTCTTAAGAGTAAGAGATGGGCTACAGAATGAGAAAAAAATTCTGCTAACTACACATCAGACAGAGAATATTTTAAATATATAAAGGACAGCAAAAATTAAACAACAAACCATCCAATTAACAAACACTTAATATGTGGAAAATACAGTTCTTAAAAGAAGAAATATAACAGCCAATAAACACTTGGAAAAAAGCATTGAACACACTTAGCCATGGAGAGATGCAAATAAAAACTGTGAGATCCCAGGTCACTCTCAAGAATGGCCATTACTTTGAAAGCAAATGCCAGAGAGGATATGGGGGAAGGAACTCTTGTTCAGTATTGGTGGAAGGTAAACTGGTGTAGCCAGTATGGAAAATCAGTACAGAGTTCCTTGAAAAAAATACAGCTACAACTACCATACAAAGCAGCTGGGCCACTAGAGCATAACCAAGGGATTCCAAAACAACACACCAGAGGGACTTGTACATCTGCATTTATTGCTGTTTTATTCACATCAGTCAGGGGGAGCATCAGTCTAAATGTCCATCAACAGATGAATGGATAATGAAACTGTGGCGCATAGACACAATGGAAATTTACTCAGCTGTAAAGAAAAACAAAATCATAACATCTGAAGGAAAATAGATGGAACTGGAAATTATTACATCAAGCAATGTGTGCAGTCTCAAAAACCATGTGTTCTCTCACATATAGAACCTAGATTTAAAATTGTGTGTGTGTGTCCATGCACATACATGCTTGTAGACTATGACACAAAACAAACAAACAAACAAACAAACAAACGGAACCCTGAGTAGGATGGGGAAATATCTTGGTGAGAGAAAATAAAGGGATCTATGTGGTTGAAAATAGGAGGAAGGACTAAGAGAAAAGGAACCACTGGGAGAGGCAGATAGGAGAGAGGGACAAGTTAGAACAAAGTATAATGGCATGTATGTATGAAAAAGTCATAATGGAATCCATTAGTTTGTCCACCAACCCAGAAAACAGTGAGAGCAGGCAGAGAAGGGAGGTAACTCAGTAGTAATGCCCTGTCTTAACAAATGGGATAGGCAACACAGAGAAACTGCAATTGAAGTCCCATCTCATACCACATATACAAATTCTAATTCAAGAGTGATGTATCCTTTTCTCTAGTTGTGACCCACAGACAAATTCTATGAACAAAACCTTTTCTTAGATATATAATAAAGTTACTTGTTTTGAAACATTTATACTGTAACATACACAAAAGAGCTACTGATACAGGAAAAGTTTAACTCGCCTAAAAAAGCAAACACGTACACACAACAAACAAAAACAAAAAAAAACATGTATTTCATTTTTACCTTTCCCAAGAACAAACCATATAAAGAAAATTTAACACATGAAAACATGTACTTCCTACATAAAATAATTTAGCTTGTTAAATCACTTGTGGGTGTTCTTTTAAATAACTACCGGAGAGCTCACAGGGAGATAATATGTTTAGCACTGTATTTCATCCTTACTACCAAAAAGATAACACAAGATTTAGGTTCATTCAAAACCCATAGGGTGGGATGGAGTGAACCAATACCAAACAAGGCAATTTCCTCTGGAAATGGCTCACACAAATATGGCTGTCTCAACTGACTACATAACTGGGGTTGGGGAGTAGATATTTCACTAAAGGCCTACATGATTGTTAAATAATACATTTGTTCCTTCAATATGATTCCTAGTGTTTCTTAACTAGGCATCATGCTAAAATATGCATCAAAACTCAGGGCCTCCATATCTAATCCGATAGACAGACTACGTTGCTTAATGTTTGCTTATGTCTCAGAAAATGGGATTACACCACACTCTTAAATGCAAAGTGACTTCTCCCACAACCAGACAGCCCATACATAAATCCTCCCCTCCCTGTTTGCTTGAACAAGGAGACCTCCAGGCATTCCCTCCCATCTACACCTGTGAGAGCTAACTAACCCTGAAACCAAAAGACAAGGCTTTGTGGCTGATCTGTAAAATAATAAACTAAAGATTTCTTCACAAATGAGAGCTGGATGCAGATTCAGTTAAGGGCTCTTCTGTTAATTTGCTATATTATTATAAGCTAGTTCCTTAGTCGGTAGACTGTATCTTTTAAAAGTCAACCACAAAGCTATTGTCAGCTCTGGCCAAAAACAAACCAAAGTTAGTCATCCTCTAACTTGTCTTTCTAAAGACACTAACCACATTTTCAATGAACTATATTGAGCACAGTGATTCATGACTGTAATCCCAACACTCAGGAGGCTGTGGGAGATTAAGGGTTCAAAGCCGGTGTGTACTACATAATGTGATCCTGTCTCAACAAAACAGTGAGATGTAGTTCAGTGGTGGGAGCTTACCTGTCTGTCATACCCAAGGCCCCAAGCTCTACCCCCAGTGCCACAAAAAGAAATATAGATGGACAGATTTACGATGAATCAATCAAACATGATAAGTCAAGCAAAAAAATAGGAAGTTCATACATTTACCAATCAGTTGTTTTTTTAAAGGTTACAAAAAATATCTATGCAGAAATAGCTTATTTTTTTTTTAATTTAAAAGAATAACACTATTAAAACAAATGGTATCCCATGAAAGAATGAATTTAAAAAAAAAAAATCTGATTCTATCTGGGGTTTCTTCCCATGCAATCTCTGTCACCTGAGGCAAATGTACTTTAAGTCAAAAGCAGGACAGATTTAGACAGTAAATGGTTTACCTAACACAAAGAGAGCCTCATTTACTGACACAGTCTTTGAACACTGCCCTATAAGTCTGTACATGGTACATGATGCTCATTAAAAACCAGACAGAGTTTGCATGCATAACCCTCACCTGAACCAAGTCACCATGGATCCATGTATCCATATGACCATCTGCAAAAGGTTCGTTTTCACATGAAAATAAGACAAGCAGAATTAGAATTACACTAAATGAACTCAACTGCATTCAACGTGGGAAACACTGCCATTTTTGTAAATCTGCCCTCTCACCTTCAGTGCTTGAGACCATCAATTTAAAGCAGGGAAACTCCATGTTGGCCTGGTTCCAATACTGACCTCATGCCAAAGCAAAAATAAAGGCCTTAAAATAGCTCAACAGCCACCATCCAATTATCACGCTGGCCCAAGACCAGCAGAGGCAGGAAGTTATTTTTCTCTTCTTCCTTTATGTACCTGTGTATTAATCATTTCTGGGCAAATACTTTTATTTCCTCCAAATAAACACTGACCAGGAAAAAATGCGGGAAATGTAATCACAAGAAGAAAATTTTCACTATTTCTGCCTCAAACCGGTCATCATTATTCAGCTCAACCAACAACCGATGACAAAAAGCATGAAAAAGCCTCATGAGAGTTTTGGTGCTTTTGTAAATCAATTTCCAATACCTGAGTAACTATCAAACAACAAATATTTTGGCCATGCTTTTATTATAGAAATAAGGCCAAGACACCTCTTCCAAGTGAGAGATAACCCTATGCATTGTTCTGTAACACCAACACCTCATGACAGCACACTGTGGACAGCACCAGCAGTCACACTTGCCACATTGTTCAGTTTCTGCACAGCCGATCACTACCCCTGTGCTTCAGTTACCGAAGTCCAAGCCACTGTACTGTTTTCGCCCTTGAATCAAATGCACCTTCTACAAAATAGACAAGGAAAGGAAACCAGAGTACTTACCTACAGTTGGGAGGAGGGTCCAGCGTGATCTCTGCAAGCTCCTTCTGAATTCTTTAAAATGAAGACAAGGAAAATCATGTTCAAACATCTTCATGCTCAACCTGTCTCAATGGCTGCACTTGCACAGCCACATCCCATTCATATGTATTTAGTAAGAAATCCTAGTTCTGCCAGAAGTGCCAAATACAGTAAAAAAAAAAAAAATGCTCTTTCTCTAGTTTTGAAAATGGACACACACAGGGGACAGGAAACCATCCACTAACAGCATGCCAGCCATTATTCCACAGTAGAAGCAACACTAACCCACAAAATGAGGATTATTCTTTTCTTTCAAAACATAAAATTGTTTTTTCTCAGCTCTAGCTCCTCAGGGAACAAAGGTCTGGTACAAAGATGGCAAACACCCTCACCCCTATCCCACCCCACCCCACTAGCACTGCCCTGAGCTCAGGGGCCCAAGCCCAAAACTAAACCTCACATGTATAATTCCTGGCTTTTACTCTATCCACTCTCAATGACTACAATATGGAGGATAAAGAAAGGTTGGGGAAGATTCTCTCAGACTCAGTTTGAGCCAAAATCAATCAATCAATTTTTCCATTTGACATATTTTATGTAGTTTCTCTTTCTAGATACTCAAGTGTCTGGATCCATTGCACGACTTCATAATTGGGGATTCAAATAACAACAACAAAAAATTCACCAAAATTTCAAGTTTAATTACAAACAGCTGCCATGTAGATTACAGATCATTAAGAAGTCTAATAAAATTCTAACTTCTGGTTTGTCTTAGAACACCCCTATATAAGACAACAAGCTGAACATACTAAGTTGAATCAAGCATCTGGGCTGATCCAATCAACTGATAAAGAAATGTAAGTATCTCATTCCAACCTGAGACCCAGATGCCTGTAATAGTCACAGCAGGCTGTAGCTTTCAAGTCTGACATTATTCATTCCTTCTGCTATAAATACCTGAATACTATGTGTATAATACCTGAATACTGCATGAAGAGTGTTAATGTCATTGCATGAGCCTGACATAAAGAATTTTTAAGTTTGCCTAAATCCTCATGTTATTGGGGGTCGGGAGTAACTGCCAGGAAAGGACCCCAGATACTCACAGATGCTAAACACAGCACTACCAGTGAGCCACACCTACCACCCATTCAAGCATAGGCTGTACTTAGATTTGTAACCACACCTAACATCCTATGTGCATGGAGAGAAACTAGGAGTGGTCCACTGCTTTCTGAGTACCTCTGGCACTCTTACCTATGGTTCATACCTTACTAAATGTAGGTTTTGTTCAAACAAATAAAGCACTCTCCAAAGCAGCTTTGTTTATAAGTGAGATTATTAGCAGAGCTGGATAATTAAGATAATGTATGAGTAACAGATAACTAAAGTACCTTAAAAAGATTTAAATAACAAACATTTGCTTTTAAACTATTTCATTCTATATATTTGTTTACATGTATTTATTTGTGAACCTTTATTACATTCACACACGTGCACACTGGTACACACACACACACACACACACACACACACACACACACACACACACACAGGTCAGAGGACATCCTGGGAGACCAGTTTTCTCCTTCCACCCTATGGAGTCCAGGGATGAAACTCAGCTTGTCAGATTGGTGGCAAAAGCTTTATCTGCTGAGCCATCTCACCAAACCTCTTCATATATATATATATGTATGTATGTATGTATGTCTCTAATCCACACTCAAGGTTGAGGTGTTATGACAGAGATCAAGACTGATAAAGTCAAAAAACTTTCATTTTCATTCTCCTTTAGGCCATTAGCTGTAGACAACAAGCAAAGACACAGCTCTCACCTGTTCTGCGTGCCTCAGTTTCCTGTTCTACAAACTGAAAAGACTAATGCAAACTTGATGAGCCCTTTATCATTAACACTCTAATTACCATCTGCATATAAATATGAGTCAAAAGTGAAAAAAAAAACAAGTATCCAAGACCTGAAAAGAAGCATCAGACTTTCAAAATGAAACGGGGAGTCCAGGCTGGCGCTCACAGACTCACATCCCTCATTCAGGAAAGTGGTGAACAAAAATGCAAGAGAATAAACTACGAGGAAAAGGGCCTAAAGGGTGTAAACTGCACAGGCTGTACTTGGCAAAAGGAAGCTTTAGAATGTATAAAAACACAATAAAGGTTCAAAAGGGATAGAGGTATAATTTTTGGGAATAGCACTTGCCCAGAATATATAAGGCCTTATGTTTGAATTCCAGTATCACCAATAATAAATAAATAAAACCTAAAATTAATTAATAAAAGATTCAGGGAAAAAAAACAAAATTAAAATCCCCAAAGAAAAAGAAACTCATGTAAGAAAATCATAAATCAAGTATGAAGGAAGCTTACATGCAATATAACTTTAATCAAATGATATGTTATATGAAGGGGTTGATCTACTGGTCTAAATGCTCTGACTTAATGTACAGCTTAGGAATCACACCGGGCTTGCAGGAAATCTAACTCTCCTATGCTATTTGGCCTAGCATTGACCATCCACACCCATACAACTGGTTGACCTCTAACTCACAGACTTCACAGGAGACAGTTTGCAGCTGCACTATACCATGTAAACATCACAAACGCTGACTCTTGAAGATGCAAAATTAATTAGCACAGAGGGCTGGAGAGACAGCTCTGCTTCTCTTGCAGAAGACCTTGGCTCCTCGCACCCAGCATGTTAGCTCACAAATGTTTGTTGCTTCCATTTCAGGAGATCTGATGCCCTACTCTGGGCCCCCAAGGGAAAGCAAAACTTAAAACTATGAAGTGAAAATAAATAAATCTTAAAAACAAAAAACCCAGATACAGGTCAATGAGGGCAGGAGGGAATAAATCATACAATTACAGTACTAGTATCACAATTTGTCAAAGTGGGAACCAATAAATACTATGGGAATGTGAAGGAAATGAAAGTTTAAATATATTTTTTAGAACATAAAAACAACCAATAATGATTTTTTTTTTAATTACAAAGAAGAGAAAGAGGAATAGATAATCTGACTAAATCCTAATATTTCAGAGCAAGGTATCAAAAGTTAACAAATTTAAAAGAAAGTATATTTAAAGTTTTTAAAAAACAAAAAACAAAACCAAGTTAGAAACCATAGATATCCACAAGGTTTCTTCAAAAACCATCAAGACTGTCGAGAGGCAGCTCAGAGGTTAAGAGTAGAAGCTACTCTTTTAGAGGAGCCTGGGGTTAATAGCCAGCAATCACATGACCAGCTCACAACTGTCTATGACTCCATTCCAGTGATCTGACAGTCTCTTCGGGCCTCCTCTAGCACTAGGCATGCATGTGATACACCGACAAACATGCAGGCAAAACGCCCATACACATAAAAAAAAATCTTAAAATAAATCAAAATTGTTGGGACTATTGAGGAAAGAGGGATGGCCAAAAATACTATTGCTTCCCATTAAGAAAAAAATTCCCTACCTTGGGTGATTTGTTTTAAGAGATGTGTGACTTCTTTTTAATTATGTGTATGCATTTATATCTGTGTAAGTCCATGCACACAAGTGCAAATGCTATGAAGATGATGGCATACAATCCCTTGGAGCGAGAATGACAAGACAGTTGTAAGCAAGCTGTTTCATATGGGTGTTGGGAACTGAACTCAGATTCTCTTCAAGAACAATTCCTGCTGTTAACCTCTAAGCCATCTCTCCAGCCCACGAGTGACTTCTATAAACTATCTTTAAAATTAGGAAATGGAAACAAGAAGCACTCAAAGAACATTTGTAACCAATAAAAGAAACCTGTTTTTGAGATAGAGTATAGCTATGCAGCCTGGCTGACCTTGAATTCACACTCCTAAGTGCTAAGATTACAGGCTTGTAGCAGCCACATCCAGTTGAAAACTATTTTAACCTAAAAGAAGTTCATTACGATATTCAAGTGCCAAATTTGAGCACAAAAAAAGTTTTTTTTTGACAAAAATCATAATTTTCTGTCAGAGAATTCTCTAAAAGAACCCAAACTTCTCTCCCTGCATGCATGGTTCCATATATTATTCAATACAAAAAGTAATTTGCTGAAAATTCGACAGCTTTAAGCAATAAGCCAATATATTCAATGTATTTTGAGCTACCACTACCGAAGAATGGCTGTTTCTCTTGGCAGAAAGGATTATACAAAGAATTGCTATTTAGACAATTATAAGGTATCCTGCTGTATTCAATGACAGCAATCCAATTCTATCTCCAAAAACTGTGATTGTGGTATCTATTAAGTAAGGAGTAAGGGAGACAGGTATTTCATTCAGTGTCCCCGGGGTGAGAAACAATGAAAAGGAATTAGTATTTCACCCTTAAAGTGTACCTTTCATGTGATGATCTTAGATGGCTAAGAGATAATTAAACACATCACACAGAATTCTCTATTACTGCTCTATGTGTTCTCATTTACAGGATAGGAAACTGAGGCTGGGTACTGCACATAAGCAGGAAGAAAAACTAAGACAATAATCTTCTAATGCAAATTAAAAGGTGGCTTTTTAACAGACAATTGTCTTACCCGTAAGTCTACAAGACAACTGACTGTATTTCCAAGTCCCATCATCCACTATGATATAACCCAAGATTCTGTGATAGGCATGTCAGCAAGGGCACACATTTCCCTGGAGAGCCACAGCCAAGTTTACCTGTTCAACAGTTTACCTGACTTAACATGATGCTATGTTGCAGGAGTGCATGAGCAGGGCAAGCATGCTATCAATTTGGGAGGCTACTGGTTGTTTTTTACCCTTTAAATAAGAAGGTATGGGAGGGGTGCTTAGGGAACTTAATTCATTCAGACTCAACTAAGGAATCAAAATTAGATAGGAAGGGGGAAATCTACTAATACACTTCAGAAAATCGAAGCAGGATGTACAACACACACACACACACACACACACACACACACACACACACACACACACACACACAAACCTAGGCCTAAAGAAAGTTCACTCACCCATCCACCCACCCACCCAGGCTCAGCACAGCAAGGA